ATACCACAACAGTTAACGAAACAGACAAGAGCCGGGGAGGTATAACTCATCAAAACCTGTTTTTCCTCAGATAAACCTGAGAACACAGTTATCAAGATTACACCTGACAAGAAGGACTTCTGTAAAGGAGAGTCGGTAAACATCAGCTGCACATCAGACGCTAAACCTGCCCCAGTCTACTCCTTGTATCGTAATAACGTGTTTAATGGTAGTAATGGAGACGGTGTCTTTGTTGTTAAACTTGCTGAGAATGGAAACTACACTTTCACTTGTGTATCAAGCAATACAGTTGGTGTTGGACCAAATAAGAGCAAAAGTGTTACAGTAAGAGGTAAATAACTGGCCTTGCCTTTCATTGTATGACGATGCATGTTTGTTGTTGCTGCTGTTTATGTTGGTGTTGGTGTTCTTGTGAAAACCTAAAATTTGAAACTTACAGTCGCTAGCTCGGTTTTCAGCTCTGTCAGCCAAGTTAGGAGCACATTGAAAGTTATCTTGGGTTCTTCCTAACTGCTTAATGCCTCCGTTTAAGAACGAGCAATTTTATTTTACTTGTCCTTCATGTAGGTTATAGTGTCTTGTGTTAGAGGAATTCTTTTCAAATTCAAATTTCGATAAGGAAATTCATTCGACTAGGAGTCATACCTTACGATAGCGTATATTATGCTACAATGAATATGTCTGTGCACACACTAATGAAGCATCGTTTTAAATATGAAAAAAGGGAACAACCAAGCACTTCACTTCGTGGCTCAATGGTTGGGGTTGGGTTAGGGTTGAGATAGTTATTATATAATAAACCCGTCATTTGCCCATTACTGTTATTTGCAGGTTAGTCGTGGATCGGCCAATAATTTAGGATACAAATTTAGTTGTACTCTATTCTAGTCTTTCTTTCATAAACACTACTTCTGTGTCCACATTTTTAATAACCATATTGTCACTTTTTTAAGGTCCTTTGATCGTAACGTGCAAGGTTGGCAACGAGATTATTACACATAAAACAGTCGTTGAGGGATCTGAAATAGTTCTGCGCCTCATGAGTTCTGACGTGGAGCGCTTGGGTTTTACTTGGAAGAAAAATACAGTCGATGTTGTAGGAGAAGTAGGGCACAGTTTGACGATTCAACCGATTACGCGTTACCAAGGAGGAATGTACCAAGTRGTTGCACGTGATAGGTTCAACTGCTCTGYTGATATGRSGTGYRATTTTACCTTRAATGTSCAGTGTGAGTAGAAATATATTTGTTTTCTTCTTTTTACCAGGCTTGAAAATTAAGTGCTGATACATTGGTTTAAATAAGATTTTTCATTGTGTGTCGCCTTCAACTATTACAAGGTTAATTTAGAGTATACAACTATGTTGAAAGCCCGCAATATCTTTTCTAATTATTTTATCAACAAATTCTTGCAGCTTTCCATAAATATAAATGAGGCACATCCACAATAACCATCAGGTTACTCTCCTTTACAGAAATATTTCAGAAAKGAAAAATGGACAGATATGTTTCTAACACTTAAGACAATCCTTCCATCCGACTAATAATAAACTAGCTTTATGTCGGTTTACCTGTGTAGTACCAGTTTTTTTCTTCATTTTTCCTTTTTTCTTTCCTTTTTTTCTTCTTCTCATAGACTATTATTATTTCAAAATTCGAAAGGAAACTTCGTGTATTGTTCGTAGACAGATGACGTCGGACAATAGATAACTTTATAGTTAATGAACATTTGCATATTCAACCCCCTCATAATAACTTTTTTATACGCTTCGCGTATCCTCGATTTTAAAATGGCTTCCCCTTAAAACAGTCTATAATTAAGCGCGCATCCTACTCGTTACCAGGTTTCAGCAATTACCACCGAAAAACCAATATTTTCCTTTTTTAATTCAGGTTAAAAAACGTGAATTAAAAAGAAAGATCTCATTATTACTAATCTGGATTGAATACAGAAACTTCTTTATTGCTTTTAAATAGCTGGAATACTATGTTGATTTGTAATTTTGTTTTCCTAGTGAGGACCACAGCACCAGAAATAACGAATCCTTACAAACAAGAATTAGCAGTTGTCGAAGACCAGGACGTTAGCTTTGTTTGCAATGCCAGTGGATACCCAGTACCTAATATCACCTGGACGAAGGATGGCATTGTCATTGGTGTTGGACGAATATTCAATATAACACGAGTAAAAAGGAACGATTCATCGTGTTACACGTGTACAGCAGATAATGGTATTGGACACGCTAAGAATACCAGCATATGTTTAGATGTGCAATGTAAGTACGAAGTCATATGTTTTGTTCTCCTCAGAAAATTGGTTTCTTTTAGTGATATGTACTATCTCTATATGAACTGAAGTAATTACGATTTGCAATGATAATRAATTTGGATTCATTCCATTTTATCCCATTATATTCTATTCTATCCCAGTATATAGCATTCTCTCCTTTAAATCGCCGCTATTTATTCTATCTTTCTGGCTCGATTGCTTTATTATCATTAGTTTTATACTGATTTTAAAGTATTAGTTAATGTGATAATTTTTACATTGTACAGATCCACCTTCCAGCATTACTATTCTACCATCGAGAAGGCAAATGATTCTAAAAGAGGGTGCTAGCCTTTCCCTATATTGCCAAAGTGACAGCAATCCATCCGCGACTTACATGTGGAAGCATAATGAGGAGACTTTAACTGATGGGCAAAATGGCATACTAATATTTAACAACATCAAGCGAAAACAGAACGGAACATACCTGTGTAAAGCAAACAATTATCTTGGCTTTCTCCTTTCAGTCCCGATCGAAATCGTCGTACAATGTGAGTAAATGAGTACTAATAAGCACAATCGCATTTTCTATTGTTTTCTTATTGTCCAATATAAGGCGGGTTCTACAATTTATCAGCATGTCTGCATGCCTGCAAAGCTAAGATAAAACCTGAACTGGTAGTGATGTATAATCACTGAAGTACTTGTATGCTGCAGTGAGCTGGAAGAGTAAATACAATAGTTCCACGTTTTATTTCGTTTTCCCCTTAACAGACTTAGATCCTCTGGAAGTGATTGGATCAAGTAACAAGAGCTACAGTCAGTCCAATCCACTGGTATTGTTCAACCTTAGTATCAACGCATATCCCAGTAACACATCCCTGTCTTGCAATCCTTCTGCACCGAATATATTGACTACCATCACCAGCCATGATGCAGAATTAACTAGAAAACAGTATTTAGTATTCGTTGTCATCCAGAATGAAGTGGATTTTGCTAGAATTGTGTGTAAAGCTGAAAATGGTCTCGGTGTACGAGATAGGACATTGCATTTTTACAGAAGACCAATACGTGAGTAATGATAATGAGCATTACAAATGTCTCTAGCTCGAGCTGATCCAGTCCTGATCAGATGAATTTGCTATAACTCATCACACCATATTTGATGTTTTTCGTTTCTACTTTAGTTTTCAAGGAAACGTTTACCGGCCAGTTTAGAATAACAAACCAAGAATGGCAGGATGGCCTTCGGGATGTAAAGTCAGCAGGCTACGATGATCTTAAACAGAAGTGCATCAAAACAGTAAGTAGAGTGTAGTCATTTTTGTTCGTTCGTTCACTCGTTCGTTCGTTCGTTCGTTCACTTGTTCGTTCGTTCGTTCTTTGCATGGTTATTATTATCATTAGTTTATTCTATTTATTTCTAGTTAGAAGCTGCATACTCAGGTGTACCATATTTGGCTGCCGTAAACATTAAGGATTTCATGTAAGTATTTTTCAAACATATAGTGCCTATAATTTCAGTAACTGCACTTATGATCGCTAAGGACCGCCGCAAAATACAGCAGTAGAGCAGCTCGCCAGGGTCTGTGCTATAGATCCTCTCTCCGTACTAAATTTGAGCACAGGATAACCCTGCAGTTAACGGAAAATCCACACGATATCTCCCCCCACATGAGTGATTTCAATATATTATGGTTTGAGTTGAGCAAAGCGGTATTCTTTTTATCTGTACGATTCATTACAATAGCAAGGGAAGCATCATAGTGCGGTTTGAGCTAGAAGTCATTGGTAAAGTACCTGATCCACTGCTGCCTTTGAGAAATTATACCAAAAGACAAGGAGAAGTAATCAATGGTCTACAGATAGACAGCATTCAGAAATCAAGTGGTAAGATGGTTTAGAAGCTTGGATTTGACTCAAGGAAGGCCAAGGGTGTTTTTACTTTCGTATTATCACTGATTTCATCGCTACGCGCTCATCAAGACATAGGTCGTTACTGGGAAATCGAACAATAGACTGTCGTCAATCAAATGAATCGCACCATGTACTTTTACTTACTCCAAGGATTCATTTGACATGTTTGCGATGCTTAGTCTGTATTGCCAGATTTGGCTGTCCCGACTTTTGTCTCGATATCGGGTAAAAATAAAAATAGTAGTAAAAATCTGTGAGACTATATTTGTAGCGTATCGTAATAACATAAATAACCCTGTTGTAGACTTCAAAGAAAATACGCCGATTCCATGTAAAGAGGAGAACAAGACACTAGTGGCAGTTCTTGGAGTACTGCTTGGTCTGTCGATTGTCCTGATCATCATACTTATAGTGGGGTTCCTGTGGTTACGTAGAAAAGGTATGATACGTTATTTTGGGCGTAAACGCATGGAACATGAATGTAGAGATGGAAAATGAGAAAAAAGATAGGATTAAAAATTTAATTT